GATTTCCTGAGAATTCTTACTTAAGATCTCAAATTAAAATCCTATTTTCTCAAAAAATAAATACATAAATAAATAAATAAATAAAATCCATGAATGCAGTCTTAGAATTGAGAGAGTAAGTCAATGTTTCAGTGCAATGGACTTCCATAGATTTCAATTCATATATATATTTTTTAAAAATAAACTGAACACAAAATGCAGATGCAGCTGTAGTATGTGTAATATGTACACAGCAGTGGAATATAGACAACAAACACAATACACTACATTTTTTTACTTTCATGTCTGGAGGAAAGCTGGAGAAAATGAAGACTGACTACAGTATAAGTGCATACAGTCCTTCACTGATTATTATAAATCATTATAATTGATTCTAACTTCTCAAAAACAGGACATGCACCTTCTTCAGAGCTATGCATTGTGATGTATTGATGCACTTTCCAAATCCATGTGTACGTGTGTGATTGGTATCCCAGATGTCTCTGGGGGTCTGGTGGTCTGTAGGTCGTAGGGCAAGGGGCAGGAGGCTGTAGTAGAACAATGAGGAGTCTGTGTGTGTGTGTATATGTGTTCATATGTGTGTGTGGGGAGTGCATATGTGTTCATGGTGGTGGGGGTGCAAGAGGGGCTGGTGGGTGCGACAGAGAGTGTGCCAGCCTGTGTGTGTGTGTGTGTGTGTGAGGGGAACACTGCTCTCTGTGTGTTTGGAAGTCTGGCTGCTCTCAGGAGTCACACAGGAATGTTGGCATGGCCCACTGGCGTAGGAGGACCCACATTCCACACACACATACACACACACACACACACACACACACATACACACACAGTCTGTGGGCTGCTGTTTGAGAACTGCTCTGTTTTTTGATGAAAGAGCGAAGGGATCAACAGCACCAACACATTTTCACCTCATCAGTCTCTCTGTTCTCTTCTTTTCATCTTTACTGTATACAGTTGTATGCAAAGGTTTGAACACCGCTTCTCAAAACATAAAACCTTTTCCCGATATTATTAATATCGTTACTGTCACAAAAACAAACAAACAAAATGGTAAATTTACAGGGGAAGGTAAAAACATCCTTAATCTGTAATGTAAATGAATGTATTGAGATGTTTTTCGTAGCAATTTTGAAGCATTCCTGTTGGTCCATTCATCATGAAATTCACACACAATGTAAAAGGGGCTGAAATGATGCAGAAAACTAAAAAAACTGGTATGAAATATGAGATACATGGATTTTTTTTTCCTTGGACAGCAATGATGTGGGACATATTACAATTACATAAATATACATACACATATATAGAACATATGGGAGTTATAGTTATCTACAGTTGAATGTAGGTTTGGACACCCCTGGTCAGATGACCTATGTTGTTGATTTTGTAGGTGACCATAGTCTGTGCAAAAGTCATGGCACATTGTTCAGTTTTATTTTGCTGTATTTTTTTCATGTATTAAATTGCACTATAATTTGCAGAAAAATGTCATATTGAAGTGTTTTCTCTGTAGAGCAGGGGTGTCAAACTCAACCACTAAAGGGGCCATATTTAAAAATCTCAACAAATCTGGGGGCCAGAGAAAAATGTTTTTATTTTATTTTTAACTAATGTTGCTATAACCTGAACTGGCCATTGTTTATACAAAATATGCAAAAACTTCAACAGTAAAATATAGACACTTGTAGTAGACCCTGAAATATTACATGAATACTTGAAATATTCAAAATTTAAATTGTCCCCAGGTGCTCGGTCTTTTAAACCTACCCGTTGGCTTAACCTAGACTCCTGGCATCCTTTCTTTGGTGCAGGTTCATTAAGGCTGAACAGCAGTTAGTGTGTTTGGTGTGAAACTGTGCAGAACTGTGTAGAATTGAGGTGTAACTGCTGTACCACAGACTGTTGTTGGGGTAGGAGTGACAGAGTGCACATTACGTTGCAGTGCATGCTGGGGACTGTAGTGCAGCACATTGTGAAACGGCCTAATATTAATATAAAATTAAAATACTGGACACAGTGTTTAAAAACTTCAGCAGCACTGCTGTGTCTGGTCCACTCGTACCAGCACAACACACACTAACACACCACCACCACACAGAGTCAGGGTAAATCGAGTTTACGTGTGTGTGTGTGTAAATAGAGTTTGCTCTGCCTCCCACTCTCTTCCTTTATGGGCTTTTATGGCTGCTTTCACACACCCCTGCACACACACACACACCACACACACACACACACACACACACACACACATACTATTTCCACTCGTTCCTGTGGGAGTCAGTCCGGTGGTGCTGCTCTGGCTGCAGTGTTTAAGCGGTCATCCGTGTCAGAGTGGTCGTTAGCGCTCACATCACAGGGGGTCAGTGCCTCACACCTGGCCTTTGTGTGTGTGTGTGTGTGTGTGTGTGTGTGTGTGTGTGTGTGTTTGGTTAGGGTGGTTGAATATGGTGTATGTGTGCAAAAGTTTTATGAACGCTGATGAAATGACGTTTTGTTGACTTTC